TTTCCTCTTCTTCCTTCTTCTTCTCGTCTTCTCTTCTTCCCTCTTCTCCTCTCTCCTTCCTCCCCTGCTCTCCTCTCCATTTGCCCTGCTCTCTCCTCTCCTCTCTCCCTCTCTCTTTTTCTTTCTCTTTCTTTCTTCTTCTTGCTCTTTCTCCTTCTTTCTTTCCGCCTCTCCTCTATCTTCTTGTTCCTAATTCATTTCAATATTTTATTGTAAATTTTCATATTCTTATTTCTAAATTGCATTTTCTTTGTATATTTCATTATTTATTTTCGGCACAGTATGAAGTGCACGTGTCGACGGTACGTGCATTCCTGCTTCCTCCCCTCCCCACCTAGCAGAGCTTAAGCGTGCCATCCCCAGACTGCACGTTCTCACTCGTCGTTCGTCTACACCCTCCCCCTCCCTCCACCTGCCCGCCCCGATAGATATCATTCCTGTGTGTCACTTAGGTCATCCGTCAACACCAGTTGCTGGGGACGCCGTGGGTGCTTTGTTCCTTCTTTGACGCTTCGCTTAGTAGATGGCTCCAGCCAGCCAGAAACGACGAGAGGCTGGATCAGCCGCTGTTCTCAGATCGAGTAGTGCTCATGCTGTACACAGACACGTTTTAATCCACTCATGATGGATGCACCTTGTTGTTGCCACAGTTTGAGTAGTGTCCATGGTATATATAACACTATTTATTAATCCCCGGAGTTATGACACCTGGTTGTTCCACAGTTTGGTATGGTCCATGGATATATTGCCACATTATGAATCCCACTCATTGCATGGACGGCAGCTTGGTTGTTTCACGTCTTGTCCTCTGAACTCCTAGCAGTGGCACACGAACGCATTCCGTGTGAGCGGGTAGAAGTCGCCCTGCGATGTCCTTGGCCGCGTTTCCAAAGGCACGATTGAAATGGAATGACCTGCAAAATGCCCGGAGAAAAGAGCCAAGTCCACAGTCGGACGGACACAAACATCAGCTCTGTGGTCGGAGAAATAACAGGCTCCTACTTTACGAGGGAGCAGGACTCACGGAGTGATGTCCCAAGCTGATATCCTGGGGCCTGTCCAGGAGCGTGACCACAGGATGAGAAGCAAATACCGGGTAAGGAGAATGCTGGGAAGTCATAAAAGCAATCAGCGTTGCTGCTGCATAATAACCTATCTGGAACACTTCCAGATTAAATCTAGTTTTTTTTTTTTCTTTTATCTAAGGAGCAGGATCAGCATAAAAGGGACAGAATAGGCGCTCCTGCTCCAAGTGCCTCTGTCATGTGCAGGCCGGCAGAATCGGTCTTGACCTTCTGCCTGGCCAACCTGAACTACGACGACTCGATTGGCATTGCCTTCTCAGAGGTTCCCGGTCGCAGTGTGAGAATTTAGGAACCATCATCAATCCAGAATGAAACGTTCGCGTTCCTACTTAATCCACTCCTTATCTCAGATACGTCGATCTCTAAAAATTAGCCGGGCGTGGTGGCGCATGCCTGTAGTCCCAGCTACTGGGGAGGAGGCTGAGGAAGGAGGATCGCTTGAGCCCAGGAGTTGGAGGTTTTGCTGTGAGCGAGGCTGACGCAATGGCACTCACTCTAGCCTCGGCAACAGAGCGAGACTCTGTCTCAAAAAAAATAAATAAATAAAATGAAATAAAACAAAACAAAATAAAATGAAATAAAACAAAACAAAATAAAATGAAATAAAATAAAACACAATAAAACAGAATAAAACAAAACAAAACAAAACAAAACAAAATAAAATGAAACAAAATGAAATAAAATAAAACAAGATAAAATAAAATAAAATAAAATAAAACAAAATGAAATAAAATAAAACTGAATAAAACAGAAAACAAAATAAAACAAAATAAAGTAAAATAAAACAAAATAAAATGAAATAAAACACAATAAAATAAAACAAAATAAAATGAAATAAAACAAAATAAAACAAAACAAAACAAAACAAAACAAAATAAAGCAAAATAAAACAAAATAAAATAAAATGAAAGAAAATGAAATAAAATAAAACAGAATAAAAAGAACAAAACAAAACAAAATAAAATAAAACGAAAGGAAACGAAACAAAACAAAATAAATAAACAAAGAGGTTGAGGACCCGGGTTGCACGGCGGTGGACGCCCCACGTCCATTCCCCCTTCATCTCAGGACCCGCCGTCCACCGTAAGGAAGGCTCTCTCTCTCTCTCTTGCAGCCTTGCGTGCCGAAGGTGCTTTATATCCATCCTGCGGGACCAGGTGGCAGAAGGGGGCTGGAGGCCCCGTGTGAGTGACGTGGGCTGCCCCGAGCTCTGACGCGGAGCGTGGAGTGGAGGCCACCGTGTCCGGTGTCTCTCGGGCGAGGTAGCTGGGCTCACCCACGTCCAGCCACCTCCCTGGCAGGTGCTGAGAGAGCCTGGAGCTTTCTCGGGGGCCATCCCCTCTCGGGGCGTGCGGTCCCCAGCGGGGGTGACACGGGTCTGGGGGCCGCGGTCCCCGTCCCCGGGTAAGGGGCCTGTGTGTGCATCCAGTGCCCACGGTTGCCGCGGTGACCACAGGCTGTCACGGGGGGCTCCTAATGAATTCTCTCGAGCTTCCCCGGTGGTGGCCGGCTCTCTCTGGGGACCCAGCTGGCTCTGGGAGGTAACTCCTGCAGGAGCAGGGCAGGGAGGTGCTTGAAATGAGGCTGACTGAGTTCTGCGGTGGCCAGCGGGGGCCCCACACAGACACGGAAAGATGGCCAGCACCGGGCTGCAAACCGTTGGGACCAGTGTATCCGAAACCAGTGACACAGGGGCGAGGGCTCACATACATGACTTGGCCGTCATGGGAATTCATTCAGTGGGTGTGCTAGTTTCCCTTCCCTTCCAGCTCTTCTTCTTCTTCTTCTTCTTCTTCTTCTTCTTCTTCTTCTTCTTCTTCTTCTTCTTCTTCTTCTTCTTCTTCTTCTTCT